AGCTATAAGAAAATGTTAACTTTAAATTTTCTGAACTATAGTTTGAATTTAAGTTAATGAGACTTTGGTAGCTATAGAGAATCACTGCCTGGCATATTGGTTAAAGCTGCTGCCTGTTTCAGATGCTGTCACTTTAGCACCACAATACTGATACAGAAACTTGCAGCTCAGTAGCCTAAGAGTTTTTCTACACATTGACCCACTGAATAATGCTAGGCATTCAAAGAATTCACTGAGAGCTTGTGCTGTGAGTCCTAGTCTTGAAAATAATTAGAAACCTACATAATTTAAAACATGAGTAGTTCTCTTTACTGTACTAGGACTATTTATACTTCGAATTAGGCATGTATGTGAAAGCTTGCAGGTTTAGCTTACAGTATTACTTACAGATCTCCCGTTAGTATGTATTTAGAAATACAGTTGTCACTCAGTAGCCAGTCTTTTTCTCACTGATCTAGGCTGCAGATAACTATGACAGTCTTGCTAGGGTAGTTATCTTTACACCGAAATTAGTCTATTAGAGGTGGAAAGAAACTAACACTTTAACATATTTTAAGTATTCTGCTTCTGTTGAATGCTGAAGGGAATCGGGATGCATGGAACAAATGGAGCTTTAAATGCATAATTTGTGTTATTAATTGCTCATAGTGAATTAATTTTTAAGTCGCTTTGAACAATGAAGCATAGTATCAGACAGGAAATATTGTGAAGACAAAGTATGCAAAGGATTTTTAGAATCATGTTGTGCTTAAAATCATTTAAGGTGAGCTTAAATTAAGCTCATTTTAAGTTAACTGGGCTTTATTCATAGGAATTTAGACTCTAAAGGTCCTCTATAGCTATATCCATTGGATTGCTATGAAGATAGTTATATTGAAAAGAAACGACGATACAAATAAGTGCCTGCTGTCTAGATACTATGTCCATTTCTTTATCAGAAAGCTTTCCCTAACATATGGATGAACAGTCTGAATCCTTCTGTACGAGTCTGGGACATTTCTTGGTTAAAAAAGCAGTTAGGACACATGCAGCAAAGGAATCCTTTGCTGTGGGAATACTTCCAACCATGCTAGGTTAAGCAGGTTGAAGTATTGACATGCCACCTACATAAGGTAACTGCACATTGAAGATGCATGTAAGTCAGGCTGGCTTTTTTTAATGACCTTGGTAATTTAGGCAGAGCTCTATGTTGTGCCATTTTCTTCTCCATATAGATTTCTAAATGTGCTTTTGCACTCCAAATGTGACCTGTGTTGACTGGAGCAATTTGTGTAGTACTTGTGTTCTGAGTCTTGTGGTTAGAAATTCCACATTTACTTATCCTAAGCTGCGTGTAAATTTGTGCAACCTACACTAACTTTTACACACATCCTCATGCCCTCAGAGGTTGTGTGTATTATTTACTGATCTCATATGGCTAAGTGAAAGGAAGAAACAAAATTCCAAGGGGGAATATAAAATACGGTTATAATTGAAGGTGAGTAGCAAACTTCTAGCCTAACTGTTGGAGCTGTTGGTCCAGCTTTTCCAAAGCACAATTCTGGCAATCAGTGTTACGAATTAATTTCAAGTTAATTTCTAAACAAACTTCCAGCATATATTTTGCTTTCTGCTAAATTGATTGTTTTGTAAGGATCTAGAAGATGATATGATGAATTTTTTTCCATCTGCAAAGAACTGTAATTTGAGCAAAATTGTACATTCATAGAGTAAGAATCATAAGGATCATAAATATTATGCAAATGCAATGGATAATGTTTAAGGAGTGTTTCAACTGTGCAGAAAAAAAAAGCACGGTATTGTTACATAGGGTTGTTGAAAGGATTATAGCTTCCTAATAGGTACTAACTACATCAGGGTATCTTTATTGATGATGGAACTAGGCTAGAAGCACAAATATAGCTGACACGTGAGGCGTATCTGTTTTGTGGATGAAATCAGGTCAATCCATGAGAAGATTTGTGTTGATTTCTGCTGCCTGGTAGGTGTGTTAGGAGCAGGGATATTGATGTTCTTTGCCGGAATAAGGAAAGATTTATAGAGGCAGTTTCCCTTTTGTGTGTTTTGTGATACAGACTCAGTGAACTGATACATATCAGGAAAGATGAAGGGTGGTATGAGGAGAATGAAGAGTTTTATTAATGAGTGCCAAATATTTTCATTTAGGGTTAAATGTGTACAGAATAGCTCATAAAAATTATTTTGATCTTTTTCCCCCTTTTTAGGGTGTTATGGTATAAGAAGAGTACAGAAGTTTATAATTAAGGGCTGATACTTTAATTCTCATATTATTTGATGTCAGTGTTACAACTTCTCAGAATTACCAGATTAAAATAAAGTACAAAAAGAGCAAAAAACTTTGTCCACTAGGAGGATAACAGGATACAGATGACTTCACGACTGGATCTGGTACCTTAGATAAAAGGTCAAGCATAAAAATGGTCTTAAAAAGGCAGCTAGTATTTATATATTTTAAAATAGCTACCAGGCTAAGAATCCAGGGTTGGATGCTAAATGAAAACCTGCAGTGCCATGATTATCTGCTTGCTGGGTGTAATGGCAGATGAAGAACTGGTATTTTTGACACCTTTTCCCAAAGAGTATGGGAGAATGTGATGTAACATGACCAAGTATTTTGATACTTGTTTTGTTTCATGGTGTAGGTTTCATATAAGAATACGATCTCAAAATTTAAAATGGCTTTAGAAGGACTGCAGCAACTAGAGGAACTTGGCCACCTCAGGAAAAATGGGAATGTGTAAAATTAATTATATTTGAGAATCTGAATATTGGTAAATATATCAGCAGTCTGACACAACTTCTTACAATTCCATATGCATTAGTGAATCTGAAAGATAAGACTTACATGCAACAAACATCTGAAATCCATGTCTTTGAGAATAATTTCATCTGTTAAATTCATCTGTGCACATTTCATCTGTAACCCCTTCATCTGTTAAATTTGAAATTAGGTACTTTCTTCTGTCTCTTTAAGGCTTAATTCAGGATCTTCTCCAATGCCTAGTGGATTAATATATTGGAGATATGTGCTGGTATTTAAATTGAATTAGGTTTTGTAAATATTTTGTCAACCCAATTTCAGTGGGTATCCAATTTATAGAAAGCATGAACAAATGCTCTACCCAAAAGTGTGTTAGACTTGGTTTATTCTACAGTATCTCAAGCACTAAACAGCAGCAGTTAGAAACTGAGAGCAGGAGTTGATAGCTTAAGGTTGTTTTTCAAGGTTAACATTGTACATGCTTTCCTACTTTTTACATGGATGTAGTATTGTTTCTCAAAATACTTTATTCAGCATAAGGGATGAAATTTGTGGTGCCAAACATTTCAGATTATGTTGTTAAATACTGCCTCCTCTTATTGCACTAGTTTTAAAAATCAGTTATTGATAACTTACTGACATTTTGATTGCCTTTTTAGTAGGTTTTCCCCAAGCCATTTTCTACTGTTTTGAAAAAGCTCATCTCCTTTTGGTTACATCCCTAAATACTGTTACTGAAACCTCAAAGAAATTTATGACACACTGTGGATGACAGAAGCACTATGTGAAGTAATAAATCAGAGTGATAATTGGAATTTGATATTTTGCAGAAATGTAGAATTAATATATGAGATGTAATTGTGTATTCTTATCATGAAGTGCTATGCTGGAATATTTTATAAGAAATTTTAGCATACTTAGCATTAAGTTCTGCAATGAGGCCTGTCTATAATTGATATATAATGTAAATGGCAATCCAAAATAATGTAAATTTTACAGTTGAAGAGAGCACATAGTGAACTATATAAAATATCTTCACTTTGTGAATCATTTTTTTTTAAAAAAGCACTTTCCTATTGCCAACTAGCATGTGAATGAATTTTAGATTCTCAGTTGTTATGATCTGTAGAAGTGAGATTTCTTTACTCTGTCTGTTAATGGATAAACTGATTATACAAATGCTGAAACATGCACCTTATATTATGCTGCTTAAACTTGCTTGTAATTGCACCTTTTGTTATCTGCATATTTTTCTTAAGGAGTACTCTTGTGTGATACCATTGTTTCCTGTGGGTCTGAGTGAATGATTAACCAACCTACAGCATCATTTACTTATAGTTTATATTTCAATACAACATAGTATTGTGAGTTCAGTGCTTCAGAAATAAATGCAACTTCCATTTGTCTAGTTTGGTGGTGTATCATTTGTTTGTCTTCCAACAATTAAAACAACAATTAAAACTATAGGAACATTAAAACTAACAAATATATTTTTTTCAATTTGGTCCCAAAATAAATTTTATTCAAGTTTAACCCCTTCATTAGTCTTTGGCATTAGCCTTCTAAGTGCACATCTGCTTATGACAGGGAATTCACTTGAACTGTTCATGTATTAAAAGCACATCTGTATTTTCTTTAGTGTTAGCCTGACTGCTGCCAAACTGAAACTTACTGTTCTCAGACAGTAATGTATTTAATCTTTAATACACATGTATACATTATATAGAATAGCAGTAGCAAAGGCCTATTACCCTCTTCAGCTGCAACACCAATGCATCTTAAAATATTTTTGGTAATATGTAAACAAAGCTGGCATTTTTGTAGGAGTTGTAGGTCTATATTAACTAAAACACGTCTCCTCCATCCCCTGTTAAAACATCCAAGGAAAGTCGCACTTTAACAAGAAAGGACACAGAACTTGTCTGGGGCTTTGACAGTAGGTAACACTTAAACATAACTGGTAAGGTCTCCAGCTTACAAAACTTTATTGCATTTTATACTATAAAACCTGAGATTGTTTAAAACGGACAGAGTTCAGTAAGAAAAGTTCAACTGAAAATCTGGAGTAGAGTCTTCTCTTAAATCCAGGCTCTTTAGCATGTAGCAAGCATATGCCAGTCCGATAACTAACAAGGAAGGGTGCAGTATCTTGCATTATGGTGTGATACTCATTGCGCTAGTGGTGTTAGACTTGCTAGAGACTGTAGCTCTAGAGTGTTTCTTTGTATAGTCCAGAAGGATGTGGAATGTCAGAGCACTAAACACCTCTGTTGTACAGCACTTATTTGCAGTCTTTTCAGTCAGCAGCTCATTAACAGATTACAATTACTGTGCCTGGCTTTTCAGCTGGCTCTGTATTTTCATTGTTAAATGGTGTAAAGCAGAATTTCCAGCTGACAAACGGATCTGTTGACCACGTTTCCTCTGTCAGTTCAACATCATGACATCGACACCAGTACACTACTGCAATAAGAAAGCTGTTGATGAAGTATAGCCAGGGGACGTTCATCTCCATGTAGGCTGGAATCTGAGCACCAAGAGACAAAACGATAATTTGAAGAAGAACAAAAGGTGCCCACGTGCCAAGAAAACAGATGAGAAGCCTGGGGAGAAGCTGCCGCCTACAGCAAGTGTTGTCATCAGATGAATACAGGAACATCAGAACAGGCTGGCCGGCAAAAGAAATTACCCTGACGGACAGTAGCATCATGACAACGTCCTTCCAGCAAGACAGAAGAGCCATGCCCATGAGAAGCAGCATGGCAAATGACACAGAGTAGCTCTGCATGCTAGCATAGGAAGGACACTGATAAAGTGAAAAATGTTTCTGAATTTCTAGTTCTTCAGAAATAGCAGGGACTTTCAGAATACAAGAAAACCCTAAAATCCACAGAAAAACCACAACAACTATATAAAATAACCTTTGACCTCTTTTAGGAGGTTGAGATGTTTGTGCTATAGACACATAATAATCCAGAACAGCCACAAGATACACTGGGTAATGTAAAATTCCATAGGTAAGAGAGATTATCTGCGTGAACAGGCAGATGTGGTATTTGGTAAATCTTACACCCCAAAGTGCAAAGTCCTCAAAATAGAAAATGAAAGCTATATTCATCAGCAGTGCAAAATCCAGAAGTGCTAGTGAAACACAGAAGTATCCCATAAAACTAATTTTCACATTTTTCTGTTTAACTCGCAATATAAAGAGATTGAGGGACACTTTTCCGAGCATAATAAGGAACAACATGCAGCTGATATCAACAGGTTGGTTGACTTGTGTATAGTGGTACCAACCAGAACAATTTTCACAGAGTATGGCAGCCATCCTCCAGTGGTGAGAAACAGCAAAATAAATATTACAGGGCACGGTGCTTCATCTCTGAAAAAGAAAGTTTAAGAGATTTATCCCAGGGGTAACTCCTATCAAGAAGTTTTTCTCCATCACAGTAACCACCTTTACATCCAAATTTTCCAGGCTCCTCATTTAACAGTGAAAAGCTGTACTAAAACACCGCTATGTTGACAAGAACTTCCTAAAAATAAAATAAAAGTCAACACATGCTTAAATAATTCTACCTGCTTTCCTAAGGAAACAAGGTTTAAGAAATGCTGACTGTGTCCCTTTCTTTTAGAAAGCATGGGATTTTTTCAGTCAAGTTGGACAGAGAATTGGGCATTTCAAAGAAGTTTCTATGTATTTTGAAGAAATGGGTAACTACCTAGCAGACAGAAACTGTATAAGATGGAGGGCAGTTCATGTATGCCTCATAATTTACTATGGTCATAGAATGTATATGGAATTGGGATTTTAGAAGTACTCCAAAAGCAGAAAAAGCAAAAAGCTGCCTCATTTACCATGCCACGAGTCTTCTTTTCAGGATATCAAAACTGTGAATACAGCACTGGAGTAGAAGTATTGCATGTGTTTGTAAATTAAATAACCACAGCAGATGGACAGAGCATGGGCCAGGATCTGCATTAGCTTTAGGCTGATGTTTCATTTCTAAACATGATGAGGATCTGGCTTCGTAAATAACAACACGGAACTCGGATGAAAGTTTCTTGTGAAGCCGTCCTACCTAGCAATAGTCTTGGCTGGGAAAAGCAACCCTTTTTGTTGCTAAAAATCTTGCAACTCAGGGTCCAAAGTAAACAAGCCTCATTAGCTGAGAAAGTTTTTTGTTCTCTTTTTAGTAATTTAAACATTACAAAAGACAACTGCTTAGAAGAGCTATTCTTCCCTTTGGACTCTTTTCCATGTGTTAACTCCTAAATGAAGTGATAGGATAGCTTCAGGTATGATAGCAGGATGCGCTAGAAAAAAAATATCCATGCCCTTTCCCAAAGAAACAGGAACGGCATTATTGTGCCTATATAGTATATATTGTAGTGCCTCTAAATAGAGGTATGGATTAGTGTTAAGCATTAAAGTATGGCTCCTTTGTATTTACATCAACATTTTAATAGTAGCTTGTCTGTTAAATGTTTTTGAGGTATTTTTTGAATAGTGGAAATAAAAAGAGCAGTCAAGAATACTTTGCAGAATCTCCTGTAACTTTGTATGTGCCCATGAGGTACCACTACGCAGTGTAACAAGCCCTAGGAGCCTTGCAATTTCACTCGTCACCTGCGCGTGTGCATTTCATCCTCAAAAAGCTCTGAATATGCTTTACAGTACAACTTAGAATAGCCATCTTTTGCCTTCCATGTGCACCCAGTTTTCCTACATTGGATGCTGCATCCAATGCTGGATGTTTCAGATCGGAGAAACCCTGCAGCCAAAACAGCATCAGCGACGGTTTTAACCCATTTGTATGACTGTAAAGCAGAACAACCTGTACGATCTCCCACGTGCTGGGGAGAGGCCTGAGCTAAAGCAGCGGCGTTAGTGACAGCGGCGCGGGACGTTGCTCGCTCCTTGTGCTCCATACGCGCTCTTACCTGTGCTTTCTCTACCGGCGGGCACGTTCCCCTCCTTTCAAGCCATGGTGCTGGCAAATAGGCAGCAACAAGTCTCCAAGGAGCTCACTGCAGAGTGAAACACAGCTTAGAAGGCCATATAGTAAGGAAAAACAAAACCACAAAAACACGTTGCTTTCCTACTTTTTTTTTCCTAAAGAAAACTCCTCGTACTCAGCACCACTGGTTAAAAAAATAATAACAAAAAAAAAAAGGTGGGGAAAGAAAAGCAGAGCCAGAGGGAGCCCGTTGGCAAGCACGGTCTGCGGGCGCGGTGGCTCCGCACAAAAGGGCTCCGCGTCCCTCAGAGCTGCCCGGGCGGCTCCGCCGCTGCGCGCCCCGGCTCCCCGCACGCGCTCGCGCCCACCTGCTGCGGCCGGCGG